CCTTTCTTTCTGGTAATCACGTTGGAGTCACCAACTCATTTCTCGAAATAAGGATATGAACTTTTTGACTTATACTCTTTTATTGTCTTAAGGCATGTCTCATCTTGTTTTTTACTTCACTTGACTATAGATTCTATCATCCTGTCATATTTTGATTTGCCGTTATCACCCATTTATCACATTTTACTCACAATGCTTCAATGGTCATCTTCTTATTCTCCTGCTAATATTTTTGTCTATTACCTTATTTTAAAAACTTCAATGAAACATTCTTTCACTTTAGCTCCCCTTGCCCCATCTCACTGGCTCATTGGGGCGCCTAACATTCTCTCTTTACTAGGGGCGCAAGGCATACTAAAGTAAATATTTATCCCTTTTAGGATGCAAGTGCCTACCTTCTCGATTTTCTTAACATTCTAGTATTCATATCTAACTGTACTATTCTAGAGTGCACCATCTGGGTGTCTCGCAAGGAGAACCATTACCATATTTGCAGTATCCTTCAAAAATGTCTGTTGACATTACCAATCCATCCACCATTTTTGGTTACTCTAACCCCAGTTGGATCCTGATATCCCATCCTTCTCTTAAACTATATTTGTTAGCTCTATAGGGCATAATTGAGATGGGTGTAGAAAATTGTACATGCCTTTGTTACTGTTGAAGGTAACTCAAAATACTTATATTTCTCTGCCTGAATTGTAAATACTAATAATCTTCACTAACTGGGTACCTCGTACCCTTTTTCACCTTATTTTGGTTAACTGTTGAAACTTATACTCTTACCTTCTGATAGTTCCATGGCATGTTATTCGTGGGGTATGTTTGATACTCCCATCTTAGGGTCTTAAGCTAGAAATTCGCACATCTGGTATGCACGATCTAGTAGGGCCTTAAACAGGGCTACATCGTTAAGAATTCTCTCTCTATTAGTGCCCTTACCTGTAGTTGTATTATCCCTCTATCTAGTTGTAATCTTTCTAATTGCAAGTATCTTTGTATCATTAGTAACCATAAGTCCTAGCTCGAGCTCTTATTCAGCTCTATAGCACGATTTGGATTTAAAAGAATGGTAACAAACGCCTAAATACCTTGTAGCTTCCTATTTATAAAATGTGGTGCACAACACATCTATAAACAAAGCTCTAACTACCAGATACGGCTTGTAGACTCCCTAGGATAGAACTGCTCTGATACCAAGTTTGTCACGTCCCAACCCTGGGGAGGCATGTTTAGCACCCGATGCCATAATCAGCTCGAGCGTACTACTCTATAACTGTAAACTCTGGAGGGGTGTAAGGCTTATGATTGATAATTGTAGAGATTCTTCGCGGCTCGCAAGCTCGCCGCGGTTCGGACTTTTTGTGTTGAACAATGCGTTGGGGAGTTGAAGAAAATTTTTGGAAGTGCAGGGCATTTTTGCGGTCCATTCTGCGGTCACAGAACTGATCTGCGGACCGCATACTGAAGTAGAAATCTAGGAAATTTTCAGACGATTATGCGGTCTAGTATGCGGCCGCATAATCATTTCATGGGCCGCACAACCCATCACAGATCCAACATAAAACTTTTCGAAGGGGAGTTCTGCGGTGCATTATAAGACCGTAGAATTGGTCTGCGAAACGCAGACTGGTCGCAGAGTGAGGCAAAAGTGCCCAGTTCCGGAGGGCTATTATGCAGTCCATTTTGCGGACTGCCGAAGTGTATATGCGACCGCAGATCTGTGTCGGGGCTTCATTTTTCTATTTTTTTTTTACCCGGCCCTATTTTGATTAAAAGCCTTTGGGGCTTGTTTTGAAGGTGAAAACCTGTCATTTTAGAGAGAAGAGAGGGGTGTTCTATAGAGAGGGAAGTAAGCCACAAGTGCTTTATTCATCAACATCTTGTCCAAGCTTTGAAATTTAACAAGAAATCTCACAAGATTTTCATCCAAGAGGTAAGGTTCTAACCCTAGTCTTGAATTTTGAGTTTAGATAGAATGGGAGTATGATTCTTGGGTATGAGAGTTGTTATTTATGCATGCATGTAGCTATGAGGATGGTGGGGAGGTAATTGAACTAGTATGAGTAAACTCTTGGTATTGAATTAGTTGTGGAGTGAAGGAAATCTTGTGGAAGAACCTTGTAATCAAATTCGCACACCTAGTGTTTGATAAAATGCTCAAATAAGCTGAAACTATGAATATCTTCCTAATTTGTGTTCAATTTTTTCTCTGTCTCTAAATATATCGAAGTTGCTAGGATATTCGAAACTGTATAGTGAATTAAGGAAAGCTCAAAGCGAGGTATGAAGGCTAAACTCTTTTTCTGGTATTGGAATTCCCGGGTTCTTACAAAACTCCATCGTGTGAAGTTCGAATATGGAACACTACTGATGTGGGGTATTCAAACTAGCAAAGTTGATTTTCGATTGGTATAATGTGCCAGAACCCTCGTGTGTTAATGATTCTCTATTTTTGACTTAATTATGTTATACCCCTTTGGGGAAAAAATCTTATTTGAAATCAATGTGATTAAAAACTTATTTCTCATATGATGAAACCTTATGAACCTACTCTTGCTAAGGCCAAAGGTGCCAAATGGTTGATTTGAAAGGGAACTTTTTTGTACCAACTATTATCATTTTGGGAATCTGAAGTGTGGAATCGTGAATACATCTCCACCCGCATACATTGGGGTGAGGAGACACGGCCGTTTTGTCTAGAGTTGTAGTATTGTGAATACACCTCCACCCGCATACATTGGGGTAAGGCGGCAGGGCCGCTTTGTATAGAGTTTGTGGTATTGTGAATACACCTCCACACGCATACATTGGGGTGAGGCGGCATGGCCGGTTTGTGTAGAGTTATGGTATTGTGAATACACCTCCACAAGCATACATTGGGGTGAGGCAGCAGGGCTATTTTGTGTAGAGTTTATGGTATTGTGAATATACTTCCACCTACATACATTGGGGTGAGGCGGTAGGTCCGCTTTGTGTAGAGTTTCTGGTATTGTGATTGTACCTCCACCCGCATACATTGGGGTGAGGCGGCAGGGCCTCTTTGTGTAAAGGTAGTACTAGAGGATCCCCGACTTAAGAATTTATAAATGTTATTGAAAGTTTTTAGTAAATTTGCTATGGCTTTAACGGCTAACTAAGCCTTTTATTGGTACCATGATTCATCATATTCATGTTGTATTTCCAAATCCTTGCATAGGTGTTTGGTTTTCATACTAGTACTATTCGACATGTACTAACGTCCCTGTTTTCGAGGGTGCTACATCTTTAATAGATGTAGGTGGTTCCACAGCGGAGGGCATTGACCAGTGATAGCGGTACACTCTCCTTCCGGTCGGCTTGGTGAGTCCCACTTCATTTCGGGGTCGTGCATCTTTTGTTGTATGTGTATTATGTTTTGAGGTATAGCCGGAACTTTGTTGCCGGTACTATCATTGTACTCTTTTGTATCTATTAGAGGCTCCGTAGACATGGTGTGGGTTGTGTATTGGTATTGGGAAGGTCAAGATAGAAATGTCGTATGTGTATTACATATTCCACTTCAACTATGAAAGTGTATGTATTTTGAGACTTTTAAAAATGAAGTAACAAATAGTGATGGAATTAGTGTTGTTCATGAACCCTCTTGGTGTTAATTAATGAAGTTTACCTTCTATTTATTTATGGGTGATTTGGGTAGAAGTAAATCTAGCAGACTTGCTCGACCGGGTTATCTCGGTTGAGCATCGGTTGTGCTCCCCGAGGTCGGGGCATGACAAGGGGTAACCCTCAACTTAGGCCAACAAGGCCTGCCTGCAAACTGTCAATACCAATCAAGGCCGATGAGGCCATATCTGAATCATCTAAAAATAACGCCCCTCTCATTTGAGGGGTAAACATACCCAAAAGCTCATATACATAACTGTGCAGGTCGACGAGGCCGCCATGAATGTCTCCAACCAGCAGTACAAAAATAAACATATACACAGAGCTGGCAAGGCCACAATACTGATATATAAAATACACAGGACTCGTCTACAAATCTCTAGAGATAACTGAATTGTATCATAGTTAGTACATGGCCTCGACCTACCCATCAAAACTGTATATATAAAATGGACGCCAAGGTCTAGACCTGGTAACTCCGAGGAAGTGGAGCTTACCAACCAAGCTTATGTTTGACTCTGTCTACTGGGAAGGTCTATCCAGCTGTCTATCAGGACCTGCAGACATGAATTGCAGCATCCCCAGCAAAAGGGACGTCACTACGAAATAATATACCGAGTATGTAAGGCATCAAACACTACTAGAAAATAGCTATTTCTTGACTATCAAAACGGTCGGAAAGCGGTCAGAAAATGCTAATTTTCAACTATATTCAGACCAAAAAATCGTAGTCGCAAAATAGCTTGTCTAAAATAGTTTGCGACCGAGGTCGTCCATAATTTGCGACTACCGCGGTCTCAAAGTCAAAATAGAAAAACGACTAATAAATGTTATCAACTCTCCGACTGACGCGGTCGCAAATAATTTAAATAAAATTTTAATTTTACATTAATTTTCCCACTACTTCAGTCGCAAATGATATATATATATATTATAATTTTATTTAATCTTTCTCACCGGAGTGGTCACAAATAATATAAAGTTTTTTTATTTTATTTGTGTTTTCCCACTGCTGTAGTCGCAAAATAATTTAAAATTATTGATTTATTTATATTTCCCACTACTGTGGTCGCAGATCTAATTTAATATTTTTTTTAATTTAATTTTTCCACTACAGCAGTCGCAAATGTTCTTGAATCTGAAAAATTTTGAAGCGCTTTGCGACTACTGTGGTCGGAAATCAGTCGGAAAACTGGGAATTGTTTGGCAGATTTCAGTACTTTTAAAGCAGCAGCACCTGCCAATTTAAATATGCAGCAACTAAACAATTAATCCACCACGACAACCAATCAATCCACCATTCTAACCAATCAATTCTCCATTCCAACCAATCAAATCAATAAAATGCAAACAACTATAGAAAACATAAATATTTTTAACTAAAACATTCAAAAAGAGTTAAACATTCAAGCACCGTTCTATCTAGTCTTAAATAATACAATCATAGTCAAGTGTAAACATTACCAAGTCTAAATATCCAACCACAATAAATAATAATGTTTCAAACATCACCACCACAACAAACTAAAACTCCTTATCCCTGCCATCATCGCCATTCAAAGTATCAAATGGACGTCCTCATAAATTTCTCCACTATACTCTGCAATTTGTTAAAATTTACGTGATCTTCTTTACGTTCCTCCTTCAACTCTTCAACTTCTTTTCGTAATGCTTCCACTTCTTCGTGATTCTGCGAATAACTCGCATCACCAGACAACAATATCGTAGAACGACCTACGGAATGTTGTGATCCAAGACCGTAGGTTCTACCTTTCTTTGCGCCACCAACCAATTGCGTCCATATTGAAGCTACATAATTGAGCGACACTTGGGTTGATCTACCATCCTCATAATCGAGTTGACTTTGACGCGATTCCTCTAAACGGTTTTGATAGGCTTCCTGAAATTAAATTATGCTATACTAACAGTATGAAGTGCACCAATGTTATACTAACAGAAAGAGGATGAAATTAGTAGTTGTTTACTAAGTTAAGCATTAAATTATGTTATACTAACGGTTGAGCAAGGGCATTCACGATACTCCTCTATCCTCCATTATACTCAAAACTCAATAAGTCTCTTATTTACTATATTTGCATCACATTTAGATACTATATCCTCCAATAGCAACAGATTCTAAAAACTCATCCTTCAATTAAAATGTATAAAAGTTTAAGACCTCCACTTAACAGAACTGAACAGAAATATAAGCAAACCATTTACAATAACGAGGTTAAATTTATTTTTTAATTGAAGAGAAAGTGTGTAATTCCTCCGTTTGAATCTCGAGGTTTGCTATCACGCCAAATCCTCTGGACTAGAGGAGTATATGTATAATATTTACTTTTTTTATAGCTATAGAAACGAACAACTTTCGGATCTCTCAAGCTCTTGAAACCTATTTTGTTATTTGAGCTGTAAAAAGGATAAATCTTCACTACTGCATAACCATTTAAACTCATTTAGCCGAAATAATTCGTTCTGCTTTCATCTATAAGATGTCTTTTTCATCTTAAGATAATGTTAAACCCACAAAATATCTAGATTTTAAAAAGAGAGACATAGATAGAAACTAACCGAAAAGAGGAGTGGAAGAGAAATTGGAGCAGATTTGGTCTTCAAGAGTCGAAGAATATTCTTTAAATTTCTGCCGTTAGTCGAAAATTGACATCCGCCGTTTGCCACCATCAGCCGCACAAGTGGAGTTGAAGAGAAATCGTAGAACAATCAACAACACTGGTGGAATGGAAGAGAAATCGCAGAAGAAATAAAATATCGATAGAGAGATAGAGATAGAGGAAATTGGAAAAATATGGCCGAAATTAGGGAAATAGGGTTCTGGCCTGAAATATTATATTTACCTTTCTGACTACCGCGGTCACAAACCCACTAAAATATTTTTTTACCTTTTTAATTTTTATTTTGCGACCAGAGCAGTCGCTTAATTGGTCAACTATTATTATTGACTTTTTATCTTCCGACCGAATTGGTCGCAAAAGTGAAGGCGGGAGATTTGACGCATTGTTTTCCCACTATTTTAGTCAGAATACTAGTCGAATTCTTTTTAAAAAAATAATAATAATAATACAATCTTTTTTCCACTACTGCGGTCGCAAAAGAAGTCACATTAGCGACTACTTCAATATCAGTCAAAAATTTCGGTCGCAAATTAATATTTTTCTAGTAGGGAAAATAACTTAAAGCTAAAACCGAACTGATAATATAATAACTGAAAGTAACTGTGAGTCAGAGATAAACTGAAGGTATGATTACCTGCTGATACTGACTCTATTCTCTTAATAGAATAAGTAAAATCGTTGTCCGGTCCTATAAGGCTCAGAACGTGTAATTGCTTTGTCGTAGTAGGCTCGCTCATAGGTGTTCGACCATACTAGGATTTGTATCTCGGCCATTCTAAGCTCGCTCATAGGCGCTCGGCCACAGTAGGGTCGGTTGTAAGGCCCCGTAAAATTTTGCAAAGGAAAAATAATATTTCGTGGTGCCGAACTGGGCTTACGTGTTTGAGGATTGTATAATGCAATGGAAAGTAAAGAAAAATAAATTTGGGCAGAAAAAATGCACTTTTGCGGCCCACTATGTGGCCGCAGAATCACTCTGCGGACCGCATAATGATCGCAGAGTGAGACAGTCTTTTGGGCCATTTTTTATGTCATTTTCGCGGCCCATTATGCGATCGCAAAATTATTTCGCGGGCCGCACTCTGATCGCATATCCAGCTTTGAGATTTTTCAGAGGGAGGTTCTGCGACGTATTATGCGACCGCAGAACAGGTCTGCAGGCCACATAATGACCGCAAACCGAGTCAAATTTACCTAGTTATGGAGGAAAATTATGCGGCCTATTCTGCGGAACGCATAAGCATTATGCGGTCGCATATGCGATCGCATACCCTGTTCCGGAGCTTCATTTTTGGATTTTTATAGCCCAACCCTACTTCGTTAAATAGACGATTTGTACCATTTTTGAGTCAAAACCTGATATTTTGAGAGTGAGAGAGTGCCCTAAAGTGGGAGAGTGATCTTCAACAATTTATTCTTCAATTCTTGCTCGAATCTTTGAAGATTAACAAGGAAAACTCACTAGGTCTTCATCTTAGAGATAAGATTCTGTACCCTAGCCCTTAATTTCGAAATTTATATAAGAATGGGTAATTAGCAAGATAATTCTTGGGTATGGATGTTATTTATTTAGCATGCATGTGTTATCAAGAGTGTAGGAAGATAGTGATCTAACAATGGTAAAGAGTGGGTTGTGGGATGATGGAATCCTCCATAAAAGGACCTTGAAACCTTAATGCACACCTAATGTTTGATAAAATGCTCAAATGAGCTAGAACCATGATCATCTTCCTAATTTTGGTTCAATTTGTTATATTTCTAAAATAGATTGAAGTTGCTAAGAATTCCGGAATATTTTAGAGTTTAAGGAAGCTAAATTGAGGAATGTTGGCTAAACTCTTCTTTAAGAATTGGAACCTCAATATCCTTGTAAGTTCCAAGATATTTATTACAAGTTGAGTATTCCGAATAAGTTTTGTGACAAAGATATATGTTTAATTTGTGTTTCAAATGCTCTCATGATATTGTATTATAAATTGAGGATGTGTTCCAAACTATGGATTGTGTATCTACGTGTTATGATTCCAAGTCGTGATTTATGTGGAAAACTATTATGCCAAATTGTGTAGAAATTGTGATTATAGTTACACCTCCACCCGCATATATTAAAGTGAGGCGGCGGGCCGCTTTGTATATGATTTTGGTATTGTTGTTGCACCACCACCCATATATATATATTGGGGTGAGGCGGCATGGCCGCTTTGTGTAAGTATTGGTATCGTTGATGCATTTCCACCCATATATATTGGGGTGAGGCGGCGGGGCCGCTTTGTGTGAAAATAGGTATTGTATTTATACCTCCACCTGCATACATTGAGGTGAGGCGACAGGGCCGTTTGAGTAGAGATTTGGTATTGTGCTTACACCTCCACCTCTATACATTTGGGGTGAGACGGTGGGGCCGCTTTGTGTGAAAATGGTTACAGAGAATCTCACCTTAAATTCTATAAATGTTAATGACAGCTCTTGATAAGCTTGATTTGGTTTAAACGGCTATCTATGCTATTCTATTGTATCCTTGATTCATCATATGCATATTGTATTTCCAACAACAACAACAACTCAGTATAATCCCACTAGTGGGGTCTGGGGAGGGTAGTGTGTACACAGACCTTACCCCTACCCTAGGTAGAGAGGCTGTTTCTGATAGACCCTCGGCTCCCTCCCTCCAAGAACTCTCCACCTTGCTCTTGGGGTGACTCGAACTCACAACCGGTTGGTTGGAAGTGGAGGGTGCTCACCACTCTCCACCTCATACTGTATTTTCGAGTTCTTAAATTGGTGTTTGGTTTTCATACTAGTACTATTCGACATGTACTAACGTCCCTTTTTGCTGGGGGCGCTGCATTTTTAATGGATGTAAGTGGTTCCATAGCGGAGGATACTGACCAGTGATAGTAGTGCTCATTCTTCCCAGCTGACTTGGTGAGCCCCATCTCATTCCAGGGTTGTGCATCTTTTGTTTCGTATGTGTTATCGTGTTTTGAGGTATAGTCGGAGCCTTGTTGCCGGAACTATCATTGTACTCTTTGGTATTTTTAGAAGCTCCGTAAACTAAGTGTGGGTTGTATATAGGTGTTGGAAATATTAAACAAGTTTTCTTAAGATTAAATCACTCGTTCCACTTTGAACCATGAAGGTTTGTGTGTGTTTTGAGAATTATTAAATGAGGTAACTAATGGTAATGAATTGGTATTGTAGACATAATCACCTTATTGTCTAATTAACGAAAATATGTATTATCCTTATTTATGGATGAGTTTGGGTAGAAGGAAATTTAATAGGCTTGCTTGGCCGGGTTCACTCGGTTGAGCGCCGGTCGCGCTCCCCGAGTTTGGGGCGTGTCATCGGTTTATAATTTACTATCTGATCAGAGGTTTCCCAATAGGGGCCTGTCCACCGATTATAACTCGATGGTGGTGAAAATGCTGTAATACTACCCAATAGGGGCCTGCCCACTGATTATAGCTCGATGGTGGTGAAAATACTGTAATATTTTATATGTATATAGACTCTCTGCTCTCTTGACTGGAAGAAGACAATTCTTAACCGAAAATAAAGACCCGATAAGATAGGATAATGTAACTTATAAGACTAGAATAATGTACATAAATGCAGGAGTACGAACTTCTCTTTATGTCTCGTTATCAAACGCATGTAGTTACGAGATCATACCAAAATAAATAAAGGGTTTAGCCTTAACATACCTTTATTGATAACCATTAAATATACACTGCCCGTAGTACTTCAACCTATAACAAGGTATGAGCTATGGTTAATACAATGTAATAACTCAAAACACATTTCTAAGCTATTAGCTCTCTTACGGAGAATTGGGCAGCACTACCCCTATATTTCCTCACTTCTCTGAATACAAAACAACACAAAACAACAACATCATCAAAATCAACAGCTAATCATATCCATTCAACCCCTCAACAACGTAAGAACAATTCAAACAATAGTACAACGAGCAACAAGCTCAGTTTGTGATTAAACCACTATAGTTTTAAACTCCTTTTTCCTTCCAGAATTTATCTACAATATCAACCACCACATATTCAATAATCCCTACTAATTTTCAGCCACAATACAATTTTAAAACAACCCCATAGTAGTCCACAAGTTCAGCAAGTCAAAACAGATTTTTCAGTTTACTAAAACACCTTTCCGACTTCTCTTTTCTTTCAAATCGAGAAACACAACCAACAGTACATAATTAGCCTCTTATCCTATAAATCAGCCATGAACTCAGCTTTAAAATAAGTTCACAACCAACCAATAGTGACGCAATTATTTGTAACACCCTGAAAAATTTTGAAGTACTTAAGCGCTATTAAGAAAGTCGATGTGCGCTAAATATATTATTTTGTGTGTAGAAAAGGACTATTATGAGAATGATATCAATTTATCATGATAATATATGTATAAAGTGCATTAATAATGGTTTATGGTCTAAGAAGAGCCGCAAGGCTAAGGCAAGTTGAAATATTTCATGATAGAATAAAGTTTCAAGTGAGTTCGCACAAGACCTAACTTCATACGAGCATACCTCTCTGGATATGAAGATTTATATGGTATATTACCTATCAACTGAAAGCTCTTTGAGTCTAGTTTCCAACGCTTCAAACCATTTGTCATTTGGACATTCCTACAAGAGGTTATGACCAAATTACCTAAGGCTGACAGAATGCGATATTTGCGACCAATTCTGCGACCATTATGCGATCGCAAAATGGTTATGCGACCGCAAGCTGGTCGTAGAATGGACCAGAATAGCCCAGTTCTGGGCACCGATTTATGCGACCATTGTGCGACCCACACACCAATTTTACGGTCCATTGTGCGACCACATAGCTGAGTTCGGAGGGTTAATTTTCCTCTTTTCATAACCCAGCCCCATTTTGATAAATAGGCTTTGGGGCTTATTTTGGGGTATTTTTCTGAGGGTTTTAGAGAGAGGTAAGAGCATTTTAGAGAGAGAAGGAGAGAACCTAACATTATAATCAACCAATCTTGCACCAATCTTCAAGAATCAAGGAAGTTAATCATAAGATCATTATCTAAGAGGTAAGGTTCCATACCCTAGTTTCCAATTTCGAATTTGGTTAAAAGATGGTTTATTTGGAGTATGATTCTTGTGTATAAGAGCATTATTTATAAATGCTTCTACTAATAAGATTTGTGGGAAG